TGGGGTGTGGTCGTGCTGGGGTGTGGTCGTGCTGGGGGGGGTCGTGCTGGGGTGTGGTCGTGCTGGGGTGTGGTCGTGCTGGGTGTGTGGTCGTGCTGGGGCGTGGTCGTGCTGGGGCGTGGTCGTGCTGGGGTGTGGTCGTGCTGTGGTGGTCGTGCTGGGGTGTGGTCGTGCTGGGGCGTGGTCGTGCTGGGGCGTGGTCGTGCTGGGGTGGTGGTCGTGCTGGTCCGTGTGATTCATCGATCGGGTCGTGCTGGGTGTGGTCGTGGTGGGGTGATCGTGCTGGGGTGTTGTGGTCGTGCTGGGGTGTGGTCGTGCTGGTGTGGTCGTGTGGTCGTGCTGGGGTGGTGGTCGTGCTGGGGGGTGGTCGTGCTGGGGCTTGGTCGTGCTGGGGGGGTGTCGTGCGTGCTGGGGCGTGGTCGTGCTGGGGCGTGGTCGTGCTGGGGCGTGGTCGTGCTGGGGTGTGGTCGTGCTGTGGTCGTGCTGGGGTGTGGTCGTGCTGGGGTGAGTCGTGCTGGGGTGTGGTGGGGTTGTGTCGTGCTTGTGTGCTGAGGTGGGGTCGTGCTGGGGTCGGGTCGTGCTGGGGTGTGGTCGTGCTGGGGTATGGTCGTGCTGGGGTGGGGTCGTGCTGGGGTGGGGTCGTGCTGGGGTCTGGTCGTGCTGGGGTGTGGTCGTGCTGGGGTATGGTCGTGCTAGGGTGGGGTCGTGCATTTCGCTCGAGACATCCTGCCAAAATTCCAGGAAATCGTACAAAAACAAACGAATTAGTCGAGACATCATCGAAATTCCTTCGCGCGGGGCGCTTTTCCGCGTCGCGGTCGGCTCTGCAAAACAAGCGTTTCGCTCGAGACATCCTCGGCAAACTCTGCGGAGCAAGCGTTTCGCTCGAGACATCCTCAACACACGAAAAAGTGGCCCGCACCCTGTGATTTATCGATCGGGATTTCAAAAACAAGCGTTTCGCTCGAGACATCCTCAAATTTTAATTCGCCGGCCTCCTTCGACCTCGTTATTTATCAGGGAAAAAATTCGCCGGCCTCCCTCAAGCAGGCACCGGGGGACTAGGTTTACCTACTAAAAGAGAACCCTGGGCCTATGCCCTTTCCGGGGAAAACAAACGAATTAGTCGAGACATCATCGAAATTCCTTCGCGCGGGGCGCTTTTCCGCGTCGCGGTCGGCTCTGCAAAACAAGCGTTTCGCTCGAGACATCCTCGGCAAACTCTGCGGAGCAAGCGTTTCGCTCGAGACATCCTCAACACACGAAAAAGTGGCCCGCACCCTGTGATTTATCGATCGGGATTTCAAAAACAAGCGTTTCGCTCGAGACATCCTCAAATTTTAATTCGCCGGCCTCCTTCGACCTCGTTATTTATCAGGGAAAAAATTCGCCGGCCTCCCTCAAGTTGGCACCGGGGGACAGGTTTACCTACTAAAAGAGAACCCTGGGCCGATGCCCTTTCCGGGAAAATACCCTAACAACAATCAAACACTGTAAACATGATGGACCCACGAACCCGGAAAGGGATAAAGACATGTGCAGCATGGTCACGTTTTCACGATACCCAACTGGGCGACATCTCACGAAACATCCCACGAGACACCCCGCGAAACATCCCACGAGACACCTCACGAAACATTTCACGAGGCCACCTCACGAAACATTCCACGAGGACCACCACGTGAACATTCCACGAGGACACCCCACGAACAGGCAACCACTTCTAAACAAGACACGCCACGAAACATTTCCCACGGGGGTGCGACTGGGTGTGGTCGTTGCTGGGGTGTGTCGTGCTGGGGTGTGGTCGTTGCTGGGGAGTGGGCGTGAGTTTGGTTAGGGTGTGTTTACGTGCTGGGGGGTGGTCAGTGCTGGGGGGTGGTCGTGGGGGGGTGGTCGTGCTGGGGTGGTCGTGATGGGGCGTGTGGTCGTGATGGGGCTCGTGGTCGTGCTGGGGCAGGGTTACGTGCTGGGGTGTGGTCTTGCTTGTGGTGAGTCGTGCGGGGGGTCGTGCTGGGGTGTGGTCTTGCTGGGGTAGGGTCGTGCTGGGGTCGGGTCGTGCTGGGGTGTGGTCGTGCTGGGGTATGGTCGTGCTGGGGTGGGGTAGTGCTGGGGTGGGGTCGTGCTGGGGTCTGGTCGTGCTGGGGTGTGGTCGTGCTGGGGTATGGTCGTGCTAGGGTGGGGGCGTGCATTTCGCTCGAGACATCCTGCCAAAATTCCAGGAAATCGTACAAAAACAAACGAATTAGTCGAGACATCATCGAAATTCCTTCGCGCGGGGCGCTTTTCCGCGTCGCGGTCGGCTCTGCAAAACAAGCGTTTCGCTCGAGACATCCTCAAATTTTAATTCGCCGGCCTCAAAAACAAGCGTTTCGCTCGAGACATCCTCAAATTTTAATTCTCGTGCTCGTTATTTATCAGGGAAAAATTCGCCGGCCTCCTTCGACCTCGTTATTTATCAGGGAAAAAATTCGCCGGCCTCCTTCAAGCAGGCACCGGGGGACTAGGTTTACCTACTAAAAGAGAACCCTGGGCCGGAGCCCTTTCCGGGAAAAAACATAGAAACATCGTCCCCAGGCTATGTTTTGACTATCTTTGCATGTTCCCCCTGTAGAGGGACAGGCCCGCCTTAACTCCAGGTCAGGGTAATCAGAGCAGCCCCTCTCCGGCAGAGCGCCATCTCACAAGAAGGGCCCGCGCCCTCGGCTATGCATAGGCGAAGTCGGCGACGCATCGGCGACGTGCGTGGACAATATCGGACTCCACATCGAGGCGCCTGGCCGATGACTCGGTGGTGCGGCGCGTTTTCCAACCCCATCTGCTCGGATCCCATCTGGGAGGTCTGGAGGTAAACAAACTTACTGACCGCATCCCCCCCTTATCGCTGCATTTGGCTTTCGTGTCAGAACTTGGCCTTCCAACGGCCGTTTGCCACGATCTGGACACCTCCGGACGCCCCTCGGCGAATCGCAGCTGCTGGAACGCATCCCGAGGCATGCAAACCTCCAGGAACCGGCGGACGCGTCCGAAGACTTCCCTAACGTCGCCCCTGAGAGCAGCGCCTCCCCTTGAGCAGGGACCGACCGTCCCGTCATTCCTATAGTCCTAATTGCCACGCGATGCTCTTAGAATCAAACATGATGGACCCACGAACCCGGAAAGGGATATAGACATGTGGAGCATGGACACGTTTTCATGATACCCAACTGGGCGACATCTCACGAAACATCCCACGAGACACCCCGCGAAACATCCCACGAGACACCTCACGAAACATTCCACGAGACACCTCACGAAACATTCCACGAGACACCCTTTGAAACATTCCACGAGACACCCCACGAACAGGCAACCACGTCAACCAGACACGCCACGAAACTTCCACGGGGGTGCGACTGGGTGTGGTCGTGCTGGGGTGTGGTCGTGCTGGGGTGTGGTCGTGCTGGGGGTGGTCGTGCTGGGGTGTGGTCGTGCTGGGGTGTGGTCGTGCTGGGGGGTGGTCGTGTGGGGGGGTGGTCGTCTGGGGGGTGGTCGTGCTGGGGGTTGGTCGTTGCGTGGTCGTGCCACCCCGCGAAACATCCCACGAGACACCTCACGAAACATTCCACGAGACACCTCACGAAACATTCCACGAGACACCCTTTGAAACATTCCACGAGACACCCCACGAACAGGCAACCACTCAACCAGACACGCCACGAAACATTCCACGGGGGTGCGACTGGGTGTGGTCGTGCTGGGGTGTGGTCGTGCTGGGGTGTGGTCGTGCTGGGGAGTGGTCGTGCTGGGGTGTGGTCGTGCTGGGGGGTGGTCGTGCTGGGGGGTGGTCGTGCTGGGGGGGTGGTCGTGCTGGGGGGTGGTCGTGCTGGGGCGTGGTCGTGCTGGGGCGTGGTCGTGCTGGGGCGTGGTGCTGGGGCGTGGTCGTGCTGTGGTGAGGTCGTGCTGGGGTGTGGTCGTGCTGGGGTGTGGTCTTGCTGGGGTAGGGTCGTGCTGGGGTCGGGTCGTGCTGGGGTGTGGTCGTGCTGGGGTATGGTCGTGCTGGGGTGGGGTCGTGCTGGGGTGGGGTCGTGCTGGGGTCTGGTCGTGCTGGGGTGTGGTCGTGCTGGGGTATGGTCGTGCTAGGGTGGGGTCGTGCATTTCGCTCGAGACATCCTGCCAAAATTCCAGGAAATCGTACAAAAACAAACAAATTAGTCGAAACATCATCGAAATTCCTTCGCGCGGGGCGCTTTTCCGCGTCGCGGTCGGCTCTGCAAAACAAGCGTTTCGCTCGAGACATCCTCGGCAAACTCTGCGGAGCAAGCGTTTCGCTCGAGACATCCTCAACACACGAAAAAGTGGCCCGCACCCTGTGATTTATCGATCGGGATTTCAAAAACAAGCGTTTCGCTCGAGACATCCTCAAATTTTAATTCGCCGGCTCGTTATTTATCATGGAAAAAATTCGCCGGCAATTCGCCGGCTCGTTATTTACCAGGGAAAAAATTCGCCGGCATTTCGCCGGCTCGTTATTTATCAGGGAAAAAATTCGCCGGCCTCCTTCAAGCAGGCACCGGGGGACAGGTTTACCTAGTACAAAGAGAACCCTGGGCTCTTGCCCTTTCCGGGAAAAATGTTATAATAACAAAAGCAATGATCTTAGAACATAAACCCCATGTGATAAAACAAGAGAGACTCCGCCAGAAACGCTCTAAGCACATTTCGTGGAAACCACAAAAGGCTCTTAGAACATTGTTTCGTAGGGCTATAGGAGAACCAGGACGCTTCGCCACTGCTTTCGGGCCCCGCGAAAGGGGGGGATAGCAAAAGGGGGGGGGGTCAGAATCAGCTCACGTATACGCTCATTTTCCCGGCGCCTCCCAGCGCCGGATGGCGCCCATGTATCGAGGAATGGGCCAGGCGGACCCGAAACCGGCTGCATGCAGCAGATTTCGCACCCCCCCCTTCCCCTCTCCCCCCCTTTCGCTCGGCCCGATGCTTGATCCCCAGCAGAGCGCCGCCTCGTCGGAGGGGCCCGCGCCCTCGGCGCCGCGCGCACGCCGTGGGCGCTTCCTCGCCGCGGGCCGCGCCTCCGCCTGCCGGGGCAGGCGGCGGCGCGGGCTGCGCGCCGGCCGCCCGGCCGCGGCGGGCCCTGCGACGACGGCGACGGCGAGGTCGTCACAGCCGTCGCCGCCGCCGTCGCCGCCGCGGACGTCGTCGCCGTCGCCGTCGCCGTCTTCGTCGCCGCCGCCGTCCATCTGGCCGCCGTCGTCGATCGCCTCGTCGCCGATCTCTCCCCGTCGCTCGGACGTCCATTCCCGGTGTTTTGTTTTCGGTATCATGCGCGTTTTTTTTCCGCAGGATGACCCAGGATGCTCCTCAATAATCCCCGCCGAGAACAGTGCACACGTCCGAGCGATACCAAGATCCCGTCGTCGTCGTTGTCGGCCCCGCCCTGGTGGCGGCGGCAGCGGCCACGGCGGCGGCAACGGCGGCGCTGGTGTGGGCGGCGGCACCGCGGAGTGCGGCGGCCGGCGGCGGCGGCGGCCACGGCGCGGCGACGGCGAAGTCGGCGGTGGCGACAAGGAGACTGCTGAAGGGGCCCTGGGACACACAAACAAGTGGCACGTGCGCCATGGCTGTTGCACAACATGATGGACCCACGAACCCGGAAAGGGATATAGACATGTGGAGCATGGGCACGTTTTCACGATACCCAACGGGGCAACACCTCACGAAACATCCCACGAGACACCTCACGAAACATCCCACGAGACACCTCACGAAACATTCCGCGAGACACCTCACGAAACATTTCAGGAGACACCCCGCGAAACATTCCACGAGACAACCCACGAAACATTCCACGACGACAGGCAACCACTCAACCAAGGCGGTGTGGTCGTGCTGGGGAGTGGTCGTGCTGGGGTGTGGTCGTGCTGGGGGGTGGTCGTGCTGGGGGGTGGTCGTGCTGGGGGGTAGTCGTGCTGGGGGGTGGTCGTGCTGGGGCGTGTCTGCTGGGGTGGCGTGCTGGGGCGTGGTCGTGCTGGGGTGTGGTCTTGCTGTGGTGAGGTCGTGCTGGGGTGTGGTCGTGCTGGGGTTGGGTTGCTAGGGTGTGTCGTGCTGGGGTGGTCGTGCTGGGGTGTGGTCGTGCTGGGGGGTGGTCGTGCTGGGGCGTGGTCGTGCTGGGGCGTGGTCGTACTGGGGTGTGGTCGTGCTGTGGTGAGGTCGTGCTGGGGTGTGGTCGTGCTGGGGTGTGGTCTTGCTGGGGTAGGGTCGTGCTGGGGCGTGGTCGTGCTGGGGCGCGGTCGTGCTGGGGCGTGGTCGTGCTGGGGTGTGGTCGTGCTGTGGTGAGGTCGTGCTGGGGTGTGGTCGTGCTGGGGTGTGGTGAGGTCGGGAGCGTTTCGCTGTCGCCGGTGATTTCGAAAAATCAAGCGTTTCGCTCAAGACATCCTCAAATTTTAATTCGCCGGCTCGTTATTTATCATGGAAAAAATTCGCCGGCAATTCGCCGGCTCGTTATTTATCAGGGAAAAAATTCGCCGGCAATTCGCCGGCTCGTTATTTATCAGGGAAAAAATTCGCCGGCCTCCTTCAAGCAGGCACCGGGGGACAGGTTTACCTAGTACAAAGAGAACCCTGGGCTCTTGCCCTTTCCGGGAAAAAGGAAGGGGGAGGAGGAGGAGGTGGAGGAGGAGGAAAGGGGGAAGAGGGGGCAAGACATCGCCCCTCGGGGCCCAGCAACGGGGCCCAAATCCCAGGTGGGGAGAGGGGAGGGGCGGCGTGCGTCGCGACGCGGACACACAAATAAATAGAGACAAATAACAGGAGTCCGTATATTTTCCTATAACTTCTTGGCTTGTCTGCCCCCCCGCTTCCCACATTTCCCCATAATTTCTTAGGAATCGACCCAACTGTCCTCGTGGCCGGAAAACATACCCGTATCGGCGGCCACGCGGCAGGGCTTCCGAGCAGCAACTCTACAAATGCGGTGCGTTTTCACTGCGGGTGCCCTGCACGGACCGCACCCGTGCGACCGCGCACCCGCGGGATCGCGTCCTGGAGCCAGGGAGTCCAGACCGCGACAACGCGCATGCGGGTATGTTCCCCCCTTGTGATTCCTCATGCACATCGTAGACGTCGTCTATCGACATCCCATCATTCAGCTCACAGGCCCATCCGGGGATCCCTCGTTGCGACTTCCCTGGGGCGCAGAAGTCATGCAAACAACAACATGCACAACACGCGCGGAAGCGCACGGACACGAATCGAACTACGCACAGCGCCCAAACGCTCAACCTCTCTACTATCGCAGAGACTGCATGCCCAACCATACCCGCATATCAAGCGAGGACGGCCCATGCGTCCAGGTGCACACTCAACTTTGCATGCGTCGGAGCGACCATTCGCGCGTACATACACGCGGTCTTCTCAACTCAAATGTAGACGCCCACCCCGGTGAACGAGGGCATGGACACACACACACACACACATACCCGCACACACGCACACACATACCCGCACACACGCACACACACACACACGCACGCACGCACGCACGCACGCACGCACACGCACACGCACACGCACACGCACACGCACACGCACACACACACACACACACACACACACACACACACACACACACACACACACACACACACACACACACACACACACACACACACACACACACACACACACACACACACACACACACACACACACACACACACACACACACACACGTCAGCACGCACATAGTTATTGGTTGTCCGCGCGCATAACAAGGGCATGCGCTTTTGTTCCAACTGACTGCCAGCACTTCGGGGTGCACAGGGCAGCGACTTGGACTCCGACCGCCACAACGATAAGCACAACAAGACAAACGGGGCGAAAAGCGAGCACGCAAAATTCCAGCGTGCGCGTGGGAGAAATTCCGCCTCTACGCATGCAACACCGTGGCCAATCCTCTTCCGCGCGGCTGCCTCGCCGCTGCCGATAATTACAGGAAGGAGAACCGCACACTCACACTTGCACGCGCCGATGCAGGCCAGGCCCGCCCTGAGCCCGAAATCGGTGCATGCGCCTTCCGGCGGGCCGTGCGCTCAAGCGCGCCGTGACTCGCGCGCAGGGCCCCTGCCGCCGGCTCGGCCACCGCGGGCCCGAACGACCCATGTCAGGGGGGCGTAAGACCCGGGTACAGGGGACTCGGAAATCCCCGACGAGGTCGTCAAAAAAATGACGAGGCCGAGCCTGCATTTTGACGAGGCCTCCCGCTGCAGACATCCCACGAAACTCCTACTCGTCAAGATCCGAATTGCGGTCGTCAAAAAACGATGGCGAACCCGAGTCCTGGCAAACCCGGGTCTTACGCTCTCCCGACCATGGCTCGGCCGCCTGGCTCGCCTCGCGCCGCGGCCGAGCCGTGCGCGCGCGGGGCACATGCCGCGCGCGACGCCCGACGGCACGCCGCCCGCGCTCCGCCGAGGGCGCCCCTCGGCGCGACGGCGCTCGCGAGGCCTCGGAGGCCTCACCTGGGCAGCAGCGGCGTGCCCGCACGGCGCCGGCAGCACCAGAGCCCGCGCCACCGCCCCGCGGCAGCCCCAGCCTGCAGCACGGGGGTGTCGCCCACCCCGCCGCGCCTCGCGGCGTCTTGCTCTTGCTTCTTCTCCTGGACGAGCTGGCGGTACTTCTCGTCCGAGGGGTGGTCCCACGTGCTCTCGCCCGTCTGGAAGTTGAAGTAGAAGATCTCGCCGTCCGCGTTCTGGCAGGCCTTCCAGCCCTCCGTCAGAGGAGCCTTCAGGCCCTCGCGCGCCAGGTACATTAGGCCCTCGTCGGCATCAGGGTCGAGCCCGAGCCACTCGGCGTAACTGCGCACCTCCTCGCTGGTGGGATTAAACTCCTCGAGCGGCTTCTCGTCCAGAACGATGACGCCGTCCTCGCAGTCCAGAGCCATGACGCCTGGAAGGCCGGGCGTCATGGAGCGCTGGCGCCGCGCGCGGTCCCCGGCAGGGAGGGGAGGACTGCCCGACTCCCCCTCCGGAGCTGCGACGCCGGAAGCCGAGCACTCCCAGCACCGGCTTCAGCAACAAAAAAACAAAACATGTCACTCACGCTTGTCATGCAGTGGCTACAAAGGTCGATCCCATCGATCCAGCACAGGTGAGACTTAGGGGACACTTGGGCGGTGGTGGAAGGTGAAGCTGGATGGCGCTGTGGGGACCGCGCTGGTGTGGGAAATCCTGGTGGAATCGGCCATCCATGGAATTCCCTGGACAACTCGCGAACTCGAGCGCGGGGTACGCGATGGACTTCCTGCAGAAGCCTTGTGCAGACGTACTCGAGATCTCTCGAATGTCAGGGAGTCCTGGGGGCGCCTTGGGGATGTCAGGCTGTCGCTGAGCCCTGCTGGACTGCTGCTTTGCTGGTGTTCCATGTGGTCGCTCATTCTCTCACCCTGTTTTGTATGTCCTGACTGTGGTCCCTCTCGTAGGAAGGATTCAACGGGGGGTCCGTGGCGCTTCAACGACCTTGGGGAGGCAGGGGGCGCACTCTCGGCACTGGGACGCCAGAGGGCTGCTAGGAGAGCCCCAGAGGGCCCGAGAGCCTAAGACGGCCAACGATTACCTCGGGGCAGCCCCAAGACAGTTCGAGATGAAGCCAAGAGCTTACGAAGAGGGCCCGCAAGAAGCTCCGAGAAGGCAAATCATCCAGAGAACACGTGAATGTGTGATAATGTGTCCTTTTTGTAGCAGATGGTGCTCCGAAGTTGTCACAAGACGGCTTCGAGACAGACCTGGGGGACCTCAAGATGGCTCCAATGTTGCCCAGGGCGGTCCCATGACGGCCACCTGATGTCACGATGCCACCAATACCATTCGGCATGGACAAAGCGAATCCCCGCCCCCAAGAAGCACCCAAGTCCCCAAGATGGGGCCCAATATGGCACAGCAGAAACCCAACCTTGCGCAAGACAGCCTAATAAATGACTCCCAGGGGCATTCAAGAGGACCCCGCTGGGCTCACAGATGGCCGAACAGAGCCTCAGAGTGGTCCGACAGACTGGGGTCCTAAGATAGCTCGGCTCGGGAGGTCATCGGCAGATGGCGCAGAGTCTCTTGTTATACCAGATCGGGCGCGGGGGGTATTTCCTGGGAACCGAGAGTGGAACTTTTCCAAATCTGCACCATCCAAGATTACACGGGAACTGTTCAAACGAGCCGTCACCGAAGCGTCCCGACTGCCGAGACAATTCAGTCAACGCCTTTCCAAACATTCGTAGACCAAAGGAATTGAAACGGGCGGCTGTCGAAACGGTGTCGGGATTTGCTTCCTGAAGCTCAAACGACGAGCTGGGGACGGGCATGGAATCGAGGCCCGTGTCACGAAATGCGGCACGATGACGCGATCCCGACACGCCCCCCCGTTCTGTGCATCCGCCACGGGGCAAGGCACACAAATGCTAGTGCCCGTTCGGATTCAGCTACATTGATTGGGCTCTGTCCGTGTAGCGAAAGCACGCACCCACCCGACATGTGTTGCTCTCTGGTGCAGTTTACGGCACAGGTACCACCCCAAAGCCGCCAAACACCGCGCAACATCGGGGGCCAAATGCCCCCAAACTGCCCCAAGACAGGCCGAACGCATCCCAGGCGGGACAAAGAGCCTTCCACGTGAGGCTCCCAATGAGCCGTGGGGCGCCAAGATAACACAACACCAAAACTTAGAACCTCAGGGAATCTTTAGAGGCCACCACTACGTGTTTGTTACGTGTTTGTTAGTGTGTGTTGTTTAAATAAACATGATGGACCCACGAACCCGGAAAGGGATATAGACATGTGGAGCATGGACAGGTTTTCATGATACCCAACTGGGCAACACCTCACGAAACATCCCACGAGACACCTCACGAAACAGCCCACGAGACACCTCACGAAACATTCCACGAGACACCTCACGAAACATTTCACGAGACACCCCGCGAAACATTCCACGAGACACCCCACGAAACATTCCACGACGACGGCAAACCACTCAACCAAGGCGGTGTGGTCGTGCTGGGGAGTGTCGTGGTGGGTGTGGTCGTGCTGGGGTGGTCGTGCTGGGGGGTGGTCGTGCTGGGGGGGTGGGTGCTGGCTGGGTGGTCGTGCTGGGGCGTGGTCGTGCACGTGGTCATGGGGTGGTCGTGCTGTGGTAAGGTCGTGCTGGGGTGTGGTCGTGCTGGGGTGTGGTCGTGCTGGGTTGGGGTCGTGCTGGGGTGGGGTCGTGCTGTGGTCCTGGGGTGTGTCGTGCTGGGGTGTGGTCGTGCTAGGGTGGGGTCGTGCTGGGGTGGGGTCGTGCTGGGGTGTGGTCGTGCTGGGGAGTGGTCGTGCTGGGGTGTGGTCGTGCTGGGGGCGTGGTCGTGCTGGGGCGTGGTCGTGCTGGGGGTCTGGTCGTGCTGGGGTGGGTGCGTGGGTCGTGCTGGGGTGTGGTCGTGCTGGGTAGGGTCGTGCTTGGGTGTGGTCGTGCGTCTTGCTGGGGTAGGGTCGTGCTGTCGGGTCGTGCTGGGGTGTGGTCGTGCTGGGGTGTGGTCGTGCTGGGGCGTGGTCGTGCTGGGGTGTGGTCGTGCTGTGGGCTGGGGGTGTGGTCGTGCTGAGGTGTCCCGCACCCTGTGATTTATCGATCGGGATTTCAAAAACAAGCGTTTCGCCTGAGACATCCTCAAATTTTAATCCGCCGGCCTCCTTCGACCTCGATATTCATCAGGGAAAGAATCCGCCGGCCTCCTTCAAGTTGGGCACGGGGGGATATGTTTACATACGAAAAGAGAACCCTGGGCCTATGCCTTTTCCGGGAACAAAAAAACGGCGGTCGTATTGACGGACTGGTGTCCCACCAACACAAGGCATTGTTTTTCCCGCGGCGCCAGCCAGCAACGCTCTCATGAACATGATCGACCCACGAACCCGGAAAGGAATATAAACATGATGGACCCACGAACCCGGAAAGGGATATAGACATGTGGAGCATGGGCACGTTTTCACGATACCCAACGGGGCAACACCTCACGAAACATCCCACGAGACACCTCACGAAACATCCCACGAGACACCTCACGAAACATTCCGCGAGACACCTCACGAAACATTCCAGGAGACACCCCGCGAAACATTCCACGAGACACCCACGAAACATTCCACGACGACAGGCAACCACTCAACCAAGGCGGTGTGGTCGTGCTGGGGAGTGGTCGTGCTGGGGTGTGGTCGTGCTGGGGGGTAGGTGGTTGCTGGGGGCGTGTCGTCGCTGGGGGGGTGTCTTGTGGGGGGGTGGTTGGCTGGGAGTGGTCGTGATGGGGGCTGTGGTCGTGCTGGGTCGTGCGTCGTGCTGGGGCGTGGTCGTGCTGGGGTGCGGCGTGACTTGGGGTGGCGTGGCTGGGGGGTTGTCTGCTGGGGTGTGGTCTTTCTAGGGGGGGTCGTGCTGGGGTGGGGTCGTGGCTGGGGTTGGCGGTCGTGTGGGGTTGGCGGTCGTGCTGGGGTGGGTCGGATCCTGAGGTGTGTCGTGCTGGGGTGGGTCGTGCTGGGGTTGGTGCGTGCTTGGGTGTGGCGTGCTGGGGTGTGGTCGTGCTGGGTGTGGTCTTGCTGGGGTGGGTCGTGCTGGGCGTGGGTCGTGCTGGGTGTGGTTCGTGCTGGGGTGTGGTCGTGCTTGGGCGTGGTCGTGCTGGGGTGGGGTCGTGCTGGGGTGGGGTCGTGCTGGGGTGTGGTCGTGCTGGGGTGGTCCGCGCCCTGTGATTTATCGATCGGGTCGTGTTGGGGTGTGGTCGTGCTGGTGCTGGGGTGTGGTCGTGCTGGGGTGTGGTCGTGCTGGGGTGTGGTCGTGCTGGGGTGTGGTCGTGCTGGCTTTGGTCGTGCTGGGGTGTGGTCGTGATGGCGGGTAGTGCGGGGTTGTGGTCGTTTGCTGGGGGTGGTCGTGATGAGGGGTGGTCGTGCTGGGGGGGTGGTCGTGCTGGGGTATGGTCGTGCTGGGAGTGTCGTGCTGGTCGTGTGGGGTGTGGTCGTGCTGGGGGGTGGTCTGTCGATGCACGGTGGTCAGGTTGCTGGGGTGGAGGGGGGGGGGTGATCGTGCGGGGGGTGGTGTGCATGGGGAGTGGCGTTGTGGGGCGTGGTAGTGCTTGGGGCGTGGTCGTGCTGGGGTGTGGTCGTGCTGTGGTGAGGTCGTGCTGGGGTGTGGTCGTGCTGGGGTGTGGTCTTGCTGGGGTAGGGTCGTGCTGGGGTCGGGTCGTGCTGGGGTGTGGTCGTTCTGGGGTATGGTCGTGCTGGGGTGGGGTCGTGCTGGGGTGGGGTCGTGCTGGGGTCTGGTCGTGCTGGGGTGTGGTCGTGCTGGGGTATGGTCGTGCTAGGGTGGGGTCGTGCATTTCGCTCGAGACATCCTGCAAAAATTCCAGGAAATCGTACAAAAACAAAGGAATTAGTCGAGACATCATCGAAATTCCTTCGCGCGGGGCGCTTTTCCGCGTCGCGGTCGGCTCTGCAAAACAAGCGTTTCGCTCGAGACTTCCTCGGCAAACTCTGCGGAGCAAGCGTTTCGCTCGAGACATCCTCAACACACGAAAAAGTGGCCCGCACCCTGTGATTTATCGATCGGGATTTCAAAAACAAGCGTTTCGCTCGAGACATCCTCAAATTTTAATTCGCCGGCCTCCTTCGACCTCGTTATTTATCAGGGAAAAAATTCGCCGGCCTCCCTCAAGCAGGCACCGGGGGACAGGTTTACCTACTAAAAGAGAACCCTGGGCCTATGCCCTTTCCGGGGAAAACAAACGAATTAGTCGAGACATCATCGAAATTCCTTCGCGCGGGGCGCTTTTCCGCGTCGCGGTCGGCTCTGCAAAACAAGCGTTTCGCTCGAGACATCCTCGGCAAACTCTGCGTAGCAAGCGTTTCGCTCGAGACATCCTCAACGCACGAAAAAGTGGCCCGCACCCTGTGATTTATCGATCGGGATTTCAAAAACAAGCGTTTCGCTCGAGACATCCTCAAATTTTAATTCGCTGGCCTCCTTCGACCTCGTTATTTATCAGGGAAAAAATTCGCCGGCCTCCCTCAAGTTGGCACCGGGGGACAGGTTTACCTACTAAAAGAGAACCCTGGGCCGATGCCCTTTCCGGGAAAATGTAACGCATGGCAACGTTTTCAAAGACACCTGATTGGGTGACGGGCAAATGCAATGCTGCTCGTGTCGATCTTGATGTAACGTGCCGAGGACTGTGCTGTGCTGCACCGTGCTGAATTGCGATGTGCCATGCCGCGGTTGTGCTCTATAGCGTCGTGGATCGAGTCTTCCTTTGCAGCCGAGTCCTGACCGAACTGGTATGGATCTTAAGCTCGA